CAAAAAATGTATAGCTGCGCACAAAAGAAGAATTATGCCGACTGTGTTAACATAACAACGACCACCCCGACGAAAATAATAACAGTCTCACTACATGCGTGCCCCAACTAGCTGCTCACTTTGAATTGTGTGGTGGTAATAAGATCTGATCGCAAAGGCGAAATGTCATGCCACATGATGCATTCCTACTGATATTAATCCGCATGAATCCGTTCTTCGCACGCCGCGTGAGAATCAAACAGCCAGCAAAGGAGCGAGTGAGTGAATGAATGACTGTGTGAATGAGCGGCGTCGGCATCACGTCTGTCACTTTGATAATCACAAAAGTTGCCACTGTGTGGCCGCGGACTCTACGCTCTGCCTACCTGCATTGTGGTGAAGTCGCCACCACCGCCACCGCAATGTCACATCCAGTCAACCTGACCCAGGCCACCCGAGTTGAGCTTGAGATAAGATGCGCACAAATGCATCACCGGTATGCCGGATAGCTTTGCGGTTTTCATGCTGACAGTGCAACTGCAACTTGGTACGGTTGACAAGCGTAAGTGACATTATGCAACATAGCCACTCACGTGGGTATACATATATTTATCTATGTACATATGTATGTATATACAATGAAACTAACATCCACCTTCTAATTCCCCTCTCTCCTGTCACGTTCTCACGTCACGAATTCATAAAATAATTGCGGTTGCTGCTTTTGATCTCAAATTTTCATGCATCTGCTTGCGTATATTTATGTTTGCATGTCCGCTTATGTATTGACAATTTCCGTGTGATTACAAATGCATATTATGTAGATATGTATTTAAAAACAAAACATAGTAATTGTGGTCACTTCCTGACTACGACGCTGCAGCTGGTTGAGTGACTTTGTCAATCTCACACATTGAATGCAACCGCAGAAGAAAAATTTGAAATTTTGAGGATCAAATAGTCTTTAGAGGATCCTCGCTGACGTTGCCAGGGAAACAAAAATTTTCCGTCAATTTTTTTTCCAGCAAAATATGTACACTTTAACGACGAAATAGTAGGCAAATAGATATCCGAGCAGCATCAGAATTACCTTTATGTGACTTGAACCATTCTGAGTTATTGTCAAATTTTTTTTTTAAGTCAATTAAACGTACATACATACTGGCTAGGCCTACCGACCGACATCAACTCTCATAAAAAAAATATATATATATATATATATATATCTCACGATCCACTGATCGGATCTTAACCAGATTAGTATGGGACTACCTCTGAGACACTACCTTTCCGATGCAAAAAGAATTATCGAGCTAAAAATGTGTTTTTTACATATAATTACTCTGGTATTATTAGGGAACATTCCCTTAATTACATGCCTGTCTTGGGCAGTCAGAATGGGTCTAGTTCCCGAAAATATTCTCTCAAAAAGAGACTAGTAAAATTAAAACGTTGATACTGAACGATTTACGCATTGTCATGGGCTTAAACTTGTTACCAGGGGGTGTCTGGGGTTGCTAATTAGGAATCTGAAGTCACTTTTTCAAAATTTAGAATATTTGTTTACATGCATTTTTATTTTTTATTTTTATTTTTTAAGTTTATTACTCTTAGATTGTCCTAGTTACTCGTAACAACGACTTCAAAAACTTTATCAGCTAATTTTCTCTGTCCCATATTCAACACACACAGTACTGCGTACGCTACATTCTCATTATGCACCTTTATTTTTCCACTTCACCAATATACCGAGTAGACAGCCATGTAATCTTTCCCTACTGCATTGTCGGCAGGAATCATTCGTAATTAACTCCAGCTCCTAAAAGTAAACAATGCAAACAACGTCACATGCTTTATTACCGCAAGCACAAAACACACACCGCCATACGCAGATTTGCACGGATACATTGGAGAAAATTAGCGCACCGCCCCTTTTGCTGTATTTTCATGCACGTAACACAAACTCGTTGAGGGAGAAAAATCCTTTTGATTCCTTTGTACGCTTGTGTGCTTTCTGCCTTGAAATGAGCTTGAGAACAGCAGCAGCGGCTGCCGAAGCTTAAAAGCGCATAATTATGCCTTTATTAGAAGGCAGCAAAGGCAAAGTGAAGAAGAGAGCTTGCTGCAGCAGCAAGGATGCATAAATTTCTAGCAGCAGCGTTGACAGCAACAGTTGTTGCCTCGGCGATGAAAGCGAAGTCACATGTTTGACTACTCCGCCGATCAACAAATTACACAAAAGGAGGGAAGCACATCGCATTATGCAATTTTATGGGCACACCGCGAGTTTCTCATTTGGTTATATACATAGATATGTACAAATGCGCTTGTACCTACGTGGAGTGTTGTCTAATGGCTTATAATTTATAATGCAACATGCAACATATTGCACGCTGTCGACATCTGTACTTCAAACGAAGGATATACAAACGTTGTCAATGTTTGACTTCCGATTTAACTCTAATTCACCTAGGTTATACATAACGTGCAGAAAAAATTACCGAGTGATATATTATGGACTTATGTACATTAGACCGCACCGGAGAAAAGTTCGTCATACACCTGAGTTTAAAATATTTATGCAAGGCAATTTCAAGAGAAAAAGACGTTCTTCGTTATATCTTCGGCATTTACAGTGGGATCTTAAAGCATAATATATCGATGTTCTTGCTCCGGGAAGACATTTTTTGTTTTGCTCTTGCTCCTCGTAGATCAACCAAGCATACGAAGCAATAAAACAAAATACATTTTTCTTGTTGTTCCAAAGTTCTTTGACCTCAAGTAACCTGCTCTAGTACCAGATCTTAGTTCTTATTACCCCAACGTACCACCCTAAAAAGCTAAAAGAAATTTAAAAATTAAATAAATTAAAAAAAAAATAAATGAAATTAAAAATATTCTCTTTTTAAGAGAATGAATGTTAAAACTAAAGTAAAATTAAATAAAAAAAGAAAGTAAATTTAATTTAAAAAAAGAAAAAAGTTTGTTTACTGTCCTTTAATTGTTTTACAAAAACTAACAATTAAAAGAAACTTGAATTAAAAAAGAAAACCAAATACTTAAATTATTAAAGAGGACAATAATAAAGTAAGTTTCTTAAAATATGAAATAAAAAAATATTTTTCTTTTTAAAACAATAAGATCTAAAAACTAAAAGAAAATTAAGTCAAAAAATATTGTCTCTAAAAGTTAAATGCAATTAGAAAAATATTTTCTTTTGTTACACAACACACACACTATACTGTTTCTAAAATTAAATGTAATTAGAAAAATATTTTCTTTTGTTACACAACGAATTCTAAGGATTAAAAAGAAATTAAATTAAAAAAAGGAAAAAATAAATTAATTAAAAAAGAAAAAATACATAAAATATGTTTCTGAAAATTTTTCTTTTTAAAACAATAAAATCTAAAAATTAAAAATTAAAAAAGGAAAAAGTTGACTACTATCTTTCAATTGTCTTACAAAAGGCTTCCAAAATTCCCCGGCTAGACTTAACTGTGTATGGCGAGATTTTTTTGTTGGCTTTTAAGGTGGTACGGTTTAAAGTACTTACATATGCTTACATAAGTACGTACATGCATATGCCTGTACTTGCCCAGCAAACCATTTTATGAATTGTAAAGAAATTTTAAAGAATTCGTAAAGATATCCCCCGATTTTTTGCCGAATTTTCTAAAATGAAATAAACTGTGCACCTTTGGATTATTTTACGAAATTTCGGAAGAAAATCGGTAAAGGAATGAAAATAATGCTGCAGTGTGAAGAATGTCTTGCAGAATTTTTCAGAATTTTCTTGATTTTTCGTACAGAAATTTAATTCATGCATTTTTCTTTGAAGATTCGTAAAAAATCGAATAGTTGCTTAAAATTTCCGTGCACTTTTTTGGACGGCAGAACTTGGAGATAATCTCTTAGTTTAACCCAAAGAGGAAGGATTATTCCCCAATATTTTTTAGAGCCTTTTTGGTTCCTAAAACTCCGTAAATATTTAGCCAATATTCAATTCGTCTGTCTCGAGGAGACTTGCCCAACTTCGCTCTGGTCACTGCAGTAGGCTAAACACGTAGGTGAGAGTATTGGATGCAGATGTGCCCAACGCATGCTCCCTAAACCCAACTCAGCTAATATCCCTATGAACAAACCCAGTTCCTGTTTCTCCCGTTAGATGAGCTTGATGACAACGATTGGGGGAAAATCTGATCTAGGCAGAGTTGAGTAGCCGATACAACAACAACCGACCACTGTCGAGTACTCAAATAATTCGCAATACACCGTTGAGTTACTATTTCTGCTATTAGCTCGATGTAGCCAACAATGTCGTAGTCCGAGGCTACTTGGACGATTCTCTCGCTGGAAAGGCAATAAGGACTCGATAATAAACTAGAGTTGGATGAGTGTATTAGCCCCCAGCGGCCGCTGTGGTGTAGTAGTTAGCAGTGCGCTCTACCACTCCGCAGGACCTGGGTTCAAGCACTGGTCAAAGCAACATTGCAATAAAATATAGTTGAAAGAATTTTTCTTAACAGCGGTCGCCCTTCGGCAGGCAATGGCAAACCTCCAAGTGCCATGAAAAAGAGCTTCTCATAAAAATACAATCGCCGTTCGGAGTCGGCGTAAAACTGAAAGTCCCTCCCCTTTGTGTAACAACAGCAAGGCGCACGCCACAAATCGGAGGATATGCTCTTTATATTATGCTATTATTAGCCTCAGTTTTCTGCGTTTTCTACTGTCAGTTTTTTCGGAAGAAATCAGGGGGTTTTGAGGAATGGCGCTGAAGTTCTTGGTAAGAAATAAATCTGCGTAAACCTGACAGTGCTGAAACGGTTAGGTACCAATACTAGTATTTCAATTACATACATACATACATACATAGGTAGCAAAGAACATGTTTTTTTTAATATAACATTTACATTTATTTGGTTTGACTGTCTTTAAAGTGATTACAGTATTTATGCATATTAGCACAAAATTTTGTGAACTTGCAAACAAAATTGAGTTAAACTATTTGTATATGTAACAACAATAACTTGTAATACATTTAAAAAGCACACATTACATTTGGATAAAAAATACATTTGTGATATTGAAAGCATGAGTAAAATTGATGAGATTAAAACTTAAAAAAATGCTTATATGTATAAACCAAGATTTATACAATACACGCTAGCTCTAAGAATAACATGTTGAAACAATTATCATTTATTTTTCTCTCCCCCTTCCTTCCATTGAGTAAAACACCTTATCTTAAATTATCTACAACTTAAGTACTAGCAATAAAATGCATGAAAGCAATACCACAAATCAAAAAGAGAAATACTCAGAGGATACTTTAAACATAAACTTAAATATATATTAAACGTATAGATGTATTTATGTAAACTTTGTAATTTCTTCCATAATAAATCCTGTTTTTTTAATCAACTTATTGTGATGGTGATTTCATAGCTGATTGACGCGCAAACTTCTCGCGTTTCATTGCACTATCACCACTGCCATCAGCGCCACTGCCAGAACTACGCGGACGTGGAGAACCCCTGACTGAAGATGCAGCAGAGGATGCTGTTGATGCAGCCGACACAGTTGATGTGGTCGATGAGGCCGAAGGTGATGATGGTGGTTTCAACACACCAGCAGCTTTTGTGGCGCTACTGCGCCTGTGCCAATCCAACACCGGGGAATCATTTACTACAGCTACACCACTAGTCGAATTAGTGTGACCAGTGACCCTTAAAGTAGCACGTTGAACACCGACTTGAGCTTTCAAGGCCGTCTGATTGATGTACGAACGGCGGAGAATGCAACAGGTAACGCTAAATGGCACTGCTATAATCACAAATAAACCCAAAAATATTATGGCTAATACATCTACTAGCTCTGCGCGCATGAAGTTTAATTCATTTGCATGCGATTTAAGAAAATCACCACCGCCAGCACTATTTAAAATCAAGTCAATATAATGTATACTCCTCGCCATGGGTGTGCCGAAGTTGGAGTTAAGCAATTTTCGCTTTTCGGTCACTTGCAGGCCATAGTTGGGATTTGTTGCCAATTCAATTATCTTATTCATTATCGGTGTAAACTCAATGGTATCAAATGAGTGTGTCAGAGCAATGCCCTGTTTTTTTAAGCGCCTAGCGTTGACTTCCTGATCGGGGAAAATCGGTATGGCAAGTATCGGCGTGAGACCGTTTATCGATTCAATAATACTCATGAGACCACAAGCGCTTATAAACACCTTAACTTTGAGATGGGCTGTGAGGATAAGGATATATTTATTAAAACATTACTCACATTTTCGAAAACTAGCTCACCTAAAATGGCTTCCTGGGGCCACCAATCTGCTATCATGACATTTTTAGGTAAATCTGTGTAAAATTTACGGTCTTCCCATTTGAGAAGGAAATTGTAGTTTGTTAAATATGACATTACATCCACAAGTTCGTCTAGCTTTTCACGTGCTAAGTCGACTGTTCGTGCATCTGCGCCCAGGCTTATGTACACCGCACCTGCTGGTGCGGTTTCTATGAAATAAGCAATATGCTGAAAAGAAGAAAATAGTTTTTATTCATATGCACATATATGCATAAAACATATTATGTAATTTCAAACAAAAGTTATTAGACTGATAATATTACTAGTAAATTGAAAGCATTGGCTTGAAATCTGTTATTTAAATGCGATCCCATTTTTCTACATACCGCCGGCAGTTCAATTTGCTGCGGTACTCCATGCAGATGTGCCCCAGCAATCTCTAAAACATTTGGCAAGTAGGCACGCGGATATTGTACAATAGGATGTGAATTAATCAAAACAAGACTGAGATTTTTAGTAAGATCACGGTGATGTGGCAAATTCGTATCGGCAAGATGGTTGAGCGTTTGAAAGTGTTTTCTATAAACGGCTTCGTGTGAGATCATGTAAAAAAAGCTACGTGTATACATAGAAATATATAATTACTTTAATTAGCAATATGTGCAAAACAAAAATGACAATTGCACTTACTTGTATGTCAACTTTTCGAATAGACCCATTAGCGTATTAACGCTTCGTTGCCAAATATTCATACGCTCCGAATAAGGCAAGAAAATACTAGGATCTAGTGCTGAGCTTTGCGGATTTCCAATCATTTGATTTAGCCATGTATTTGCGCCTGTAGGACTAATGACTACGGTGGGTATTTGATAGAAATGCGCCAAGCTTTCGATGGAAACAAAACCTCATAATTTAGAGATAAATAGTTGTAACTTGTAAAATATTCTTACCACAATAGCGAATCGCTTAGGAAGAGATCCACTACCAGCAAGTCGAATTCTTCACCGCTGTTTACAAGTCTTCGAAATTTTTCATCACCCAACAGTATATCTACGTTTGATGCCCCAGCGTACATTAGCCGCGTAAAATGTTCTAAAATTGAACTTAGACGCGCTTGTTCTACATCGAAAGGCAACCCCGTTTCCTCCCAATTTTCAAGCAGTCCCTCAATATGTATCTCGCGTATATTTTTTTGTACTGGATATTCCTGAGCGTGTGGACTTATCAAGGTGACCGAATAATTTGTTTGTGTTTCCACCAATTGTTGCAGAAGCCGTCGTCCAAAAAGGTAATGTGACTTCCAAACACTTGGTAGAACTGCCAATACATTTACACCGTATACCAAACATGGCAAAGCACTTAGCAAATGAAGCAGTGACAAAGTGGTCACGAAATTCGCCATTAATTAAATTATCAAGCGCATTGAGACGACGGCATAAGGCCGATGACCGTTTGTCCTTAGTTTCTTGCCACTGCACTAAAGGTTAGATGTACCTATTGAGTCGAATGTATTCGACCGCTCGACCGAATTCGCATTGATACCTTTATTGCACACCGCTGTTCCTATTTATAATGCTTCCTCCCAGCGTATCACCAAAGCACCAAATACACTCGTTTTTCCACTTGCCCCTTGCTCTGTTGTTGCTCCAGAGCTCTTTTTAGTCTATGCAACTCCGTGCAGTTTTATTTCGTATTCCAATGCAAACTTTGGACATTTTTTGTACTTCGTTACTACTATTCACTGACCTGCGTGTATGCACATATGTACATATGTATCATAAGTATTTATGCACGATATTTTCTTTAATTAATGCAAAAAACTTTGCTTAATGATGGCAGTGTGAATTGCGAAAAAATCAAAGCGACGCCAGTGAAGATAAAAAGAAACAGAATGTAAACAAATTGTAAACGAGAATGGCACCAAATAGGGGAATGCCAAAAACAGCTGCTTCACAGAGTGCAGAATATGACAAGAAACTTAAATGGGCACATGAAACTTAACTCAAAAGCGGTGCCTAATCTGCTCCGGTAGGGCGTATAGGCCCAAACCCACCGAAAGCGATCCGAATTATGCATTTGGTCCCTAACCGTCAATATGAATGCAATGGCGCTTATTAAAGTTTGACGGTAAAATTAAGGTTGTCGACGATATTGAAGTTTTTTGGGGAAATATAAAAAAAATGTACTGTAATTGGTTGCGCTGCAGAGCGCATATTTTCTGATCTAGATTTAACTCTTTATAGCCCTTTTTAGCTCCGAAAATTGGACTTTGCTCCTAGCTCTTTTTAAAATAATGGGCTCTTTTTGATTACACGTAAAAGCACATTTAGCGCATTTAGCTCTAAATGCTACTCTAAATGTACATTTATCCATACAAATTTCTTCACATAAATGCAAATCCATTTTTGCATTAAGAATCTAAATGCAAAAAGCAACCCTGTGATCTTCCAAAATTTTCACGATTCGAACATGGTTTAATGAGAAAAAGCGCAACATTGCTTTTTCCCATATACACATGAACCAAAAATACAAGAACGCGACGTTGTATTTGTAACTGGTTTTGAGAAAAAAGTTTGCGAAAGCGGGTTCGTCAGCTGAACGTTTGTTTACATCACAAGCACCACTATTTTACACTTTTATTCAAGTAAAGATGAGTTAATTCAACATGACAACACATTTTAAAGCATTTTGTAGCATCAATTTACCTAAATTGTGCGTTTAAAGTGGCTGACAATAATTTTGGCTAATTTTGGTTTTCGTTGTTTTCTTTGCTTTGTTTACTTTTCGCTCGTTTTCCAGTGAGACAAGATGGCGTAGAACCCGCTAAAAAAATCGACTTTTTTCACTCTCTTGTTCTTACGTGATCTTGTGTCTTTCGTTCATGCCGTATACAGTGGCTAGCTTTACATTATTTGGATAAAGAAGTTACGCAAATTCAACATCGATGTGATGCTGATAGAAATCCGGATCAATTTGTCATCAACTCTGTTCGTTTTGTTTCCTAAATATGTGAGGAAATTTTAATTGACAGCACTGACAAAAGAATATATACACAAACAAATGTTCGGTTATGGTTAAAACAATTCAAGTTTTTGTATTGAATACTTGGTTTAAAATTTATTTTTTTTGCAGTAGGCTTTTTGCACATTATCTTCTGCGTGAGAATGGATCGTAATAGATACGGATCTGAATAAGCGACTAGAACACGGCTGTTTGTCAAAACTATACGATTTCGAACTCGCGTAAATGTACATTTCGAAAGTGCATATGTTCGAAAGTGCTAAATGTTGCATTTTAAATGCAGCAAAAACGCTGCATTATATAGAACTTTTTTAGCTCCAGAAAGTTGTATCGTACAAGTATTGACTAAAATTTATTTGGCTTTGGTAATCTCAGGCTATTTTCGACACCAACATGCTATTCTATTTCGAAAAATACCTACTTAGAAAATACTCAGGCTGTACATTCTCTCTCAGGCGATAGAAAAAGAGGGCAAAAGCTTAAGCGTTGATAAAATTTGCAAAATTTCGAAATGCAGTGGAAAAACATGCATAAAGAATTTTGAAAATTTGTTGTTGTTATTTTGGTTTTAAAAGTTTTTTTCAGCACTTCAATTTACAACATTCGCTATTATTATTAATATTGCGGAAAATGTAAAAACACCTTTACGCCAATAAGTGTTCAGCTTGAAAAAAAATTTCGCTCTTCATTTTGGCTACTATTAGTATTATTTAGCTCTTTTAGCTCTCTTTTTCAACCGTTTTAGCTTCAAACGAAAATTTTTCTGGCAACACTGGATCACAAGGGGTTGTATACTGTCATTTTGTTGTATGTCGTAAACCTTAAAAATTTAAATAATTGTTTAGAATACTTGAAACCACAAACGCTGTTTTTTATCACTATGAAAATCCATATTATTATGACCTTATGGAGCCTTGCGAACGCCCTTCATATATTTTTAGCCGTTTAAAGTTTACATGCAACAATACTTTGTGGATTTTGGGTTGGTTGGCACGAACTTAAGTTCGTATCGCCAGATTGTTCCTCCTATTCTGTATTTGTACCTCTTGGTGCGCTGAGAGTGATCTTCAGGTATTTCAGGTATGTCCAACGTATTATATGTGTTTAATGCATATCCATTAAATTGCAATTTCCAACAATTTTAAAAATTTATTTCTTTAAAATATTTCTTGTTTCGCTTCATGAAACAGTTATGGTAATAAATTTTCATAGTTCACTTGTTCATACAGTTAATTTGTTCATACGATAGTACCGTTTCAACGGTACGCTTTAACATTTCCATTTAATCGCAATTTTATTTTTCTTTATGTTCACGTGTATTACATTACTTACGTAATTTTTATTTAATAGAATTATCTTCCCTTGATTCAAAACTTTATGTTATATTTAATGAAGCTTAATTTAAAGCTTTATGTTATTTTTAATGAAACGACTTCATTTTTGTGTGTATTTTAATCTAATATTTGCTTTATAAAAACTAGACAGATCTGCACGACCATACTCGTCGAGGAGCCATTTTGAACTGCATGCAACAATACGACAATATACAACACCTTGTGAACTCCCTAAAAAGGTTCTTTCTCGTACGCAACGCGGAATCCTGCGCGTGCCCAAAATAGCCCAGAAATCATTCCCGTACTCAACAAAATGGGTAATAGAGCGCGAAGATTGGAACGTATTGTATGGTAAGTGTCTTTTTCTTCCTGCCCGAAACAGCCCAGACTTTTTCTCCGGGTAAAAATGGATAAAGTGTCAAAGTGCTTATCAGTTGTTTTGTATTTACATGTTGCCTGCATTTACTTGGTGCTTTTAAGGAATAGTGAATGTATTTTCAATCTTTATATTCTTAAAATCAAATTTGTAAAAGAAAAATTCAATTCCCACGAGTTTGCATTTAAGTGACAAAAACAAAAACAACGCGAATAAGCTGTTTCTCAAATTCTGGGCGCGAAATGTGATTTTTTCCGTTCCCGGACTTTTGGACTATATTCCATTTTTGAGAGCAAACTTTTCGCTTATTCTCTAACTACCGGATCCGGTCCGGATTGTTAGGGAAAGAACCTAATATGTTTTCAAAATGTATTAGCGACCTGGAAATGTGATTTTTTATGAATACTATGAATTGCACATAGAAATGTGAGATTTAAATTGAAATGCTTAAAAGAAAAAAAAAAAATAATAAATGTATCACAAATTCATTGAAAATAAACTGCTTTTCTACTGCAACTTTTTGTTTTTTTTTTTATTGATACGTGAATGCTGAAAACAAAAAAAGTCGATACTTTTGATTAAGAGCAACGACAACACTGTTTGTGAGGAAGACGAGAAAAAAATTACCCAAACCAATTCGCATTTTGGGTATTTTTTCGCATGTCAAAACAAAAGAGATTAGGAAAGAAAGTAAACAAAAAGTGATCTGTTTGAGATAAAAGTGAAGGTTTTTCATTCATAATTTCTTCATATCTTAGGCCATATTATAAGATAGAAATTGTAATAATTTGCAATAATAAGATAGTGACGTCAAGCAATATAATTTATGTAAAAGCATACATAAATCAAAGCTTTATTACTTGCTTATAAGGGTTTAGGTATGAGGGACGCAGCTGGCTAGTTGCCAAATTATTTGCACATGTGTATTAAACACAGAAAAATTTGCCAGACAGCGTAGAAATTAAAAGTGTTTAAAGCACAGTGCAGCTGCTTAACTGATGCCAACAAGCTGTGTCATACAAATAATTTGCATTTAATTTTCTAGTGCATCGGCGCGTATTCATACATTGTCAGCAGCAGTATTAAACGAAAAATCTTCGTTACGCAATTCCATTAATATTTCAACTGTTATCCCCGAGATTGACGTTTTCGCAATTTATAAAACAAATATGGCCTTATCACTAGGTGAGCATAATTTGTTTGCTTTGAAGTACATATGTACATATAATATATGTATACATATTACGTATTTTAATTTTTCTTATCGATTTCTCTTACACAATTATACAGGACGGATTAATGTGGATGAACCGCTGTTCGATCTAAGTACATTTGCTGGTCGCTTTCGTTATTTCGCATGGATGACGGATCCGCGCACTGTTATTGTACCCAATGACCGCTTAATGCAAGCAAAAACGCTGGTAGAAAAATATCGCTTAGGCCAAGAGCCAGATAGTACAACGCAGGAGCAAGTCAAATATGCCATGAAACTTTATTCATCCGCCTTCCATCCAGATACGGGCGAACTACAAAATGTTGCCGGACGCATGAGTTTTCAGGTAATTAAATGAGCACTACACATCTGTTTTAAATAATTAAAAAATATTAAGAGCTGCACATTTTTATTTGCAGTAAAATTTCTATTATGCTAATTTCATTTTATTGGCTAAT